CGCTAATGGGTTTTCTGTCTAATGGGACACTCTGCCAAAAGCTGGTATATTCCTTTAACCTGTGGAGTGCATCTGTTTGACTGCTGCTGAACAATTCAGAGGAAACCACAGCTGGAAAATGGCATTGAGCTGAGTGGATGATAGCGCTATAAATGTGCGTTTCTGCAGAGTGTGGGACTGTGTTGATCATGCAGCTGTGTCCTGTCTCACCGTAGGGGCTGAGAGAGAGAGAGTGTGTGTGTGTGTGTGTGTGTGTGCGTGTGTGTTAAGAGACTGTGGGGGCTGGAGCATGTGTGTGCCTCTCTGCATCTCTTCTCTCCATCCCGTCAGTTTTGATTGACAGATGAAGGAGGGAGGTGTATAATTTATCACTTCCTGGTTGGTCCAATCCCACAATGCCCTGCAGCCAGAGACCAGGGTTGGTCCCCAAGAGCAAAAGCCAGTTTATTAAACCCTTAATGGACACGCCACACACACTCAGACACACACACACACACACACACACACACACACACACACACACACACACACACACACACACACACACACATTCACAGAGAGACTCTGTTGGTCTCTCTCCCTGGCTGCCTTTCAGTCATGTTTAATGTATAATGAATGAATGATTCATGGCAGGGGAGAGGATTTTGTATTTTAGGACTACTTATTCATTTATACTCACACCAGTCGCTTTTTAAAATATATCCTGTGTGTGTGATTTCTTTTTTCAGCATGTATAAGGTCGGCAGGTTTACCACAGAGATCATTTGAATAATTTTTAATGTGAAGTTCCCCATTTTCACTTTAATAACCAGTGCTCTATTTAAAATTTGTATTTATCCAGGGATTACTGTGTCTGGGATGACTTCTCTTTTACACAGCAACACCTGGCTTCATACTCGTACTTAAAGCTGCCCTGATCAATATTTTACATTAAAAAGTGATCAATTTAATATGTGTAATGGGAAAAGAGACTCATGTAGTGACTCATAACCCAAACCTGCAGTTCCCCTCCTCCTCAACATTAGTGTTTTGTTTCACCGCTCTCATGAACCTCTTTTTTACAGCAGGTGGCAGTTTTCAGTGAAACAGCTCTGATGAACTGATAACGCTTTACCTGTCTAGCACCAAACAGCAGACCGACAATGTTAGCAACGAGCTAGTAAACATGGTGGAGCATGTAGCAGATGTTTTCCACAGGAGTTGGTGGAGAGTGAAACAGAGCTAAAAATAATTTAGTTAATTTAGTAGAAGGCACTTCCACTGTAACTCTCTGTCACCATCATATTTACTTTACTCCATAGCACAGTTCATAGATAAAAAAATGATATACACAAAAACCTGGCCTGATGTTCTTTCTGTCTTTTTGATAATGTTACTACTGCACATCTCCACATACACACATCACACATGAATGGGCACAGTATGCGCACGCCACAAAGACACACAGGCAGGAGGTGATATTTGATACATGGTGAGCTGCAGGCTCCCACTGTCAAAGAGGAGGCATTTACCCAACCTGCAGAACGTCCTCTCTTCCCGTGTGGCACATGTCAAATCAAATCTATTCATAAAATGCTTCTAACAAACAGCTACATATGTGATCATGTAGGTAAAAGGCAAGCAGGAGATAATAAAAAAAACAAGAAACTGCATGTTCCAAATCTTTCTGAGGCCTTTTTTTTAGCGTGTGCCTGGATGTGCAGGGTTAGAGGTGTGTGTGTGCCACTGTGTGTGGGAAGGGCAGATGGTGTAGCTCTAGGAATCATCTCTCTACATTAGGGTACACAGCAGGTGGTGGCCCTGTGTGCATGTGTGCACGTGTGTGTGCATATACGTATGTGTGTGCCTTCATGTCCTACACAGCCGGCGTGGACCAGTGTACAAGGACATCTCTGCAGACCTTGCCTTTGGCCTGTGTCACTAACGCTCATGTCTGCTTTGCCCTGTGTGTGTGTGACCAGCGGAAGGGCACAGGCTGTAAAGTGAGTTTGAAGAAGTGATCTCTTTTGGAGATATGAGGCTGCGGGGTGGCGAAAGAATGGATGGATGACAGAGCAGATGAAGAGGGGTGCCAAAGAAGACAACACAAGTATGAAAAAGAAGAAAAGAATGGGGCTGAGAGGTCTCTGTTTTTGTTGCCTCACTTCTTGTCTCCTTCAGCAGTTGAAGTCCTCTTTGACTGACAGATTTAGGAAGGAAGTGTTTATTTTATTAGCTCAGGGTGTAAAACAAAAAAACGGAGACACTTCACGTATCAGATCAGCAGCTTCAGTATACTTGAGGAACAGTTAAACCAAAGTGTGTGTTTGTGTGTGAGCGCGTTTACTTCTGTCTGTCGTATGCATCTGCTTTGACAGACTGCATTCTCTCTCCTCACATTGGCCCTTCAAGAAGTGCGGGCACTCTGGAAGCAAATCAGAGTGCTGCTCACTATTTGACTGCCTGGAGGGTTTTAGTCGAACAGATGGCTTCTTAGTGAATGAGAGATGACATTCATGTGAAATGTTACGGGACCCAGACACAGACTGACTGGATGAGGGAGTCTGGATGGAGGCAGGGCCAGAGAAAATGTCTGTGATTCAGTTACAGGCAGATGTCAGTGTGTTGGGATCTTTCTTCTTTTTTTCTTTTTTTTCTTTTTCACAGAACAACACAGACAGGCTCTAAGTGGAAAACCATGTCAACGCCGAGAGCCATTTATCAGAATATACTGACATGGTACTTTGAGTCCCATCCACCATAAGGTGGAAAGGAGGAAATCTTTTTATTAGACAGCGGCCAAATTGGGGCTCATGTTCCTCAAACAATATTCTCCTTCATGCCATTTAGGAAATATATCAAGTTCTAATTGTAATTATTAAGTAGCTTTCTTTATTTTAACATTTGTCTTGATGAAGGTGAAAGAATTAATGTTGCTTTCATCTTGTTTGTACTTACATCAAACTGCTGCTCCTCTCTGCTTTGCTTTTGAAAACACTCCTCTATTAATGTGCTACATCGTCACCTCCTCGCCTTTACCTGCAGAATAATACAGGGTGTGTGCACGAGTGCTTTTGTTCTCGCCTTTATTCTACCATTTCCTGAATTCCTATATTCAGGTGAATCTAAAAAGCCCATTGTAGGGGAGGAATGCAGTTTGTTCCCCTATCTACTGTTTACAGGCTTATTTATCTATTTGACGTGAGCGCTTTAAGTGGAGGCGAGAGTGTGTGAGGCTGTGTGTTTATAGGGGATGATACGGCTACTTACGAGATAAAGATTAAAACATCTTAACCCTTGAAATAAAAAAGAAAGCAGCCCTCCTCTTCGAAATTAGTAGAAGCGACATAATGTGTCCTATAACATATACCACCAACTTATCAAGTGCTTATTGCGAACATGTTAGCTAAAAGTCAGCACATGTCCAAAAGACTCATAGCTGCATGAACATCCCATTGGAGTTTGATTTCTGCCTGTCTTACAAACCCCATTTTAAGTCTATTTTGCTCATCATAATGTCTTTTTGTCTATTGTTTTGTACATAAATACATAAGATGACCACTGACCTTTATACCTAATATTGGCCTGGCTGACTTTAGTTGTCAGTTTTACAGCCATGTGCCATCTGATTGTGCTGTAATATACAAAATAATGATGAATTCAACTTAATTAAAATTACATGTGTTAATGTTTCCGTGTGTGCATCTGTTTGTGTTTGCACAAACATGGGTGTAGCCTTTGTTATTGTCATTGTCATGTCATGTTTCATTAATTGTTTGATTGTGCAGATGTACTGAGTGATGTTTAATGAGTAATATGTAATCTATTCTTTTGCTCTCCTGGTTTGTTTAAGGGTTACATTAACATCACAGGCTTTAATCATTCTCTAATCCATCCACCGATGGGTTAATCTGTGGTACAATGAGTTCCTTTCCTTGTGTGTGTGTGTGTGTGTGTGTGTGTGTGTGTGTGTGTGTGTGTGTGTGTGTGTGTGTGTGTGTGTGTGTGTGTGTGTGTGTGTGTGTGTGTGTGTGTGTGTGTGTGTGTGTGTGTGTGTTTGATTGGGATGTAGTACGGTCTCTGGTTCCACCTTCACTGGAAATGAGACTGTCAGTTCTCTCTCTGGACATTTTTGGCCTTTTTCATGAAGGCCAACAAAGGTCAGCGCTGTAGGACTTGTTAAATCCTCACACACACACACACACACACAGAGACAGGGGGTAGACTGTGTACACAAAAAAACACACTCTCTCACCAGCACTCCAAAGAAGTTCAGTACACAGCTGTGATCTTTCCTCCCAGCAGCTGGGACCTGAACACACACATATTCACACACACTCATATGCTTTGTCCTGTAAAGTAGGAGGAAGAGAACAAACAAGAGCTGGGACACAATTCAAAAGCTTTTTGGATTTGATTCATATGAAAGTTTTGATTAAAAAGACAAATATAGCTGAGATTACACACATCTAAAAGATGAATTAATTATTTATCATATGTAATGCATAATTTAGTTTATTGTATTTCTCCTCCGCAGTGGATTTGACTCAATTAATATATGTAGCAAACATTTAAACAGAGGCAAATAGATAGTAATCCAGAAGGATGTTTGGGGAATGATGGAAACAGCAGAAACAGATTGGAGTTGATGTTTGTCACAAAAACAGAGAAAAAAACAGTGAACACTGAGGGAGATTAAAGGAGTCAATCTGGAGCTGTCTGATTGTATGAGAGGGCAGGGTGAAACAAGGGTTACTCATCTCTCACCCTCCCATTCTCACCCCTCCATCCCACATCTGTTTATCTCTTTAAACCTCTTTCTGGGAATATTGTGATTGACTGATCTGCACCCGACAACCATTTATTCTAACATTTACACGGGTAAAGGAGGCACTGAACATATTTATGTTTGGATCTCCGAGTGCATCTTTTAGAATCGTTGTTGGTTGACTGATAGCAGCACTAACCTCTCTCAAATCTTGAAAATCTCACCCCCTTTCTCTCTCCCCTTCGGTCCACAGACACCATTCTTATTCGAGAGGAGTTCAGCAATGTGGCCAACTTCAGCACCTTCCTACTGGACCATTCATCGGGCATGCTGTTCCTGGGTGCAAGGGATGCCATACTGGCTGTGGACACCAACAAACTGAAGCAACGACCAAAAAAGGTAGAAAGAGTGAGTGTGTGTTGAGTGAATGGTCGTCATATTTCTCACATAATGTTATTCATTTCTCCATCGTGTACACTAAATATGAAGCCAGCAGTTGGTTAGCTTAATTAATGAGCCAGCTAAGCTAACTGGCCGTGGCGTCCTAATTAACGTACAGACATGAGAGAGGTATCGATTCTCTCGTCTAAGTCTTGACAAGAAAGTGAATAAGCATATTCCCCAAGAACTCCAACTATCTCAATATTTCTTGATAGTGGTGATTTATCACTGGCAAAATAGCCAAATGAGTAAGTTCAAGACTGCGCCTTTGGATTTATGAAATTTCCACCTACTTTCTCTCCCTGTCACAAGGATAAAATACTGAATTATGAGCACATTTCTATAAAAATTGCTCCACAGTTTACTGTGATGTTCTGGATTTCTATTTGTAACCACAAAATATGAACCTAATTGACTTTAGGACTGGATTAAACTCTCTGGGTGATTAATTGTAAATGCATCTTACTGTTGAGCTAATACACGTTAATATATAAATATTTAAAAAAAGAACAGGAACCGTGCTGTGATGAGACTAAACGCTGACTACTTATCAGTTACAGTGACAATAACTGCTCCAATTCTCTCTGTCTCCCTTTGCTTTTGTTCCAGATTGTTTGGGATGTGCCGGTGGAGAAGAGGAAGTCTTGTGTTGCAAAGGGAAAGACAGAGGTGAGAGCTCTCTCTCTCTCTGTGTGTGTGTGTGTGGGGATTTACAGTGACTCACAGTATCTACAGTAGCTGTGTCTTCCATTAACCCTGTTGTACTGATGCTGTAAAGAAACATCCAGGAATATCCTGGAAAGTACAACAACCACTAAAATGAACAGGTTGTTTGGTTCAATAGTGCCTAGATGATGTATTTTGTACCATTTAAATGTCCTGAAACTACACTGAACCACTATAATATTTCAAGTCTCATTAATCTCCTATTGAATCAAGTTTTACTTCTTCCAATGTTTGAGATTTTGTCATTGAATACTCACTTATTTATACGTGTTTCTGTTATTATCTCATTTGATAAGGGACTAGGAGGAATTCAGATGTGATAAAAAAAGATATAAAATCTCAATGTTAGTATAGTAGTGTTCCCATCTTATTTTAAGTATAATTTATTGGATTGAAATTACAGACAACTGAAATGCATGTTTTCATGGGCCTATATTTTGTTCTTGTGTGTGTGTGTGTGTGTGTGTGTGTGTGTGTGTGTGTGTGTGTGTGTGTGTGTGTGTGTGTGTGTGTGTGTGTGTGTGTGTGTGTGTGTGTGTGTGTGTCACAACCCCGTGCTGTTACTGTAGGCATGGGAAGTTCTGGGATTTATGCCAAGACCTCATCAGCGGTTGGTGTGTGTGTGTGTGTGGAGACAGAAAGAGAGTAAGAGAGGGTGTATGTGAAGTCACAGATGTCCGGTAACTGTCTATGGAAACTGATTAAATAGAGCATACTGTACACTCAAGCTGTACTTCTCATTATGCTTCAACTACAATAGGAAATCAACTGAACAGTGAACTAACTGCACGCTGGAGCATTTTTGAGTAATGTCTCATTGATTCATTGGTTTTTACAGTTTACCGGGCAGTACCACGACAGCATCATAACATAGGGTCGGGGGTTTACTCAATGACCTGAATATGCTAAAAACTTGCCTGAAAATGCCTTTATCCAGCAAAATTAGGTCAAATCAATAGATAAACAAAGCTAATGGAGGGTCAGTGTGTTACTATAACAGAAAGGAAGTGCAATTAGTTTTGACCCATTTTTTTCTTCTGTTTTCCAATGTAAGGCGATAAAGAGGTGAAAGACTGATAAAGGCAGGAAAGAAAGGGGTTAGGGTTTTTTTCTGAGAAAACATTGATTACAAGATTACAAGTGTGACTCACTTGGATTTGGAAGAAGGAGAGAGGGAAGGAAACAGGAAGAGGACGAATGATGGTAGTGAGCAAGGAAGGATGAGGAACATTATTAAACTGAGAGAGAAGAAATTATTATATTAGAGAGACAAGACACTAAACCCAACAAGAAACTACCTTGAAGTTGACCTAGAGTGTGTGTGTGTGTGTGTGTGTGTGTGTGTGTGTGTGTGTGTGTGTGTGTGTGTGTGTGTGTGTGTGTGTGTGTGTGTGTGTGTGTGTGTGTGTGTGTGTGTGTGTGTGTGTGAATCATGCAAAAACTACAGACTCAGAAGGACAAATCAGGGCGAGTTAGCAGGGTTACACAATACTCTGCTGCTATCAGCAGGATGTTACTAAGCTACTGAGTTTAATGTCAACATTGCATTGATCATAAAGCAGAACAAAACGTGTATCAGACTAAAAATGTAGGTTAACACCTTTCTATTGAGCTCAACAAATCATTCGGTTTCCTCTTGAGGAAAATATCATGCTCAAATGCTCCCCAGCTAGTTTCTAATGGTCTGTCTGCCATGTGGTGTGAGACAGTTAGGGTACAGTGGTTTATCTGTGCTGAAAACAGCCACCTGCTGCAGATAGCAGTGAGAGTCAAAAACAACAGTAGGCTAAATTGCAGGCCCAAAAACCAAAAAAAATGGGCTGAAATACTTTGTTAAAATGAACATTATTATTATTACTATTATTATTATTAACAGATTATAGCAGCAAACCTTTATTTTTGACAATAAAACACATAGAGATCTACTTAGTAACAACCCTCTTCGTGGAAAACAGGAAGGTTTTTAGAAGAAAGAGCAAATATAGTGAAGACTACAAGGACAGAAAGAAGGTTCAGAGCATGAGGAGAAGAGAAGAACTTTCTGCCATTACCACACACACACACACACACACACACACACACACACACTCTTGTGATTCTCTGTAATTATTGCAAAATTGCTCTTAATATGAATAAGTGTGAGTTAGTATGGAAGCTTTTAGGTGTTTTGGTGGCAGGACTTTTCATTTCCACAGTGAGCTCTAAAGTCACGGAAGCTTTTAACATGAAGCTGCATAATAATAATTATAATCTCCAACACACTCACATAGAATAGAGTAAAATAGAATTGAATTGAACAGAATAGAGCCATTCGATTCACCCCATGCCAGATAGTGAATGAAGCTTGTTAGTATGAATGAGGTTAATTTGGACCAATGAAATAGCTAATCCCCAGCTGATCCCATTGTTCAGCCTGAGCTCTCTTTCCCTCTCTCTGGCTCTCTGTCCGTCTCACGTGGAGCTGGAGCAGTGTGAGGGCTGGTGGTGGTGTGGTGGTGGTGGGGGCTGATTTGGGTGACATGATCTGGGCATCAGAGAGGATCAGGTCCCTGGGGCGAAGGTGACTCAGGCCTGGAGCTCATCCAGGATGGCACGCAAAGATACACACACACACACACACACACACACACACACACACACACACACACACACACACAAGCTAACAAAAAAATCACCTGCGTCATGGTTTCATGGTAACTGGGGAGGGACAGTAGGGGTGTTTTTCCACAACAGCTATGGATTTAATATTCATCTGTAAAGAGAGGGGAGCTCAACAAATATATCATCCAAGACACAGACAAAGGAGCACATAATAAGTGTGCTTATTGTGCATTATTTATGCATTAAATGTGTGGTTTTCAGTTGCAGCTTGCATGCCTGTGTTAGTCTGAGTTAGTATGGATGATCTCTGCTGGCAGCAATGGGGGTCTCAAGTGTCTGTCCCAGCAGTGGGGGTCTCCAATTTCCAATCAGAATCATGGATACCCCAGCTGTTCTCTCCATCCTTTCTCCTAAAGCTCAGTGTGGTTGATAGGGGACCGCTTCTGTTCATGGACTGTTCTGTTGTTGGTTTGTTGGACCAGTCATGGTCAAAACAGACATGACTTTGGTTCTAAAACTAAATAAAATATCTAATAAATAAACTGAAATAATAAATATCTACTTTATAAAATGTGTCACACCTACTTTGATAAATTGGTTGCAGCAAGCTTGTTCTGAAAGCTATAATACATACAAAGATATAAATTATCTTCAGAGTTGTTTGATATTTATGCAGTCACCTACTGTATATATTTGAATAACAATTTAAATAAGTAATGCGGTTATATATTTTAGACATGTTTTTATGGTAACTGAAAGTAAACCTTCTCTTTCACATATATAAAATGTTTCATAATGCTGAAACTGAGCCATATTGTTGATAATCTAATGCAAAATGTAATAAGTGAATACATATACATTAAACATGTTTTACTCAAAATTTCTTAAATTGAACCTGAATCTAAAAACACTTTCGGCTTTATTTCTGACTGTTTGTCTCCCCCTGCAGGTCGACTGTAACAATTACATCCGCCTGCTGAAGTTTCTGGCTGACGGACGCATCTATGTGTGTGGCACCTACGCCTTCGACCCCCAGTGTGCCTTCCTGGTCAGTTAGTGTGTGTGTGTGTGTGTGCGTGTGTGTATGTCGGTGTGTGTGTGTGAGGACATCCTCCTGTTCTGCATGTACATGTCTGCATGTATGAATTTATATTTGAGTGAGACATTATAGGGCAGATCTATGCCTGAGGATCTTATCATCTGTCACATCTCTACACACACACAGCTGCAGCACACTATAATTCCAAACCGTTGTGTGTTTGCTCGCATGCGTGTCCCCGTATATTTGTATCTGTGTGTGTTTGCACCTACAGCATGTGCATTAAGAGCTGCAAATGAATCTCTGTGACAAGTTCCCACACTCATTCACACCCAAGTCCTCCACCAAAGGGACAGGCAGAAGGGTGCACACACACACACACACACACACACACACACACACACACACACACACACACACACACACACACAACATGCTGTTATCCTACTACTGCTGCAAATGTATTCACATTCAAACTTTTTAGTCTTTTTCAGACTCCACTCACCCACTTTTCCTCAGTAATTATTAGACGTTTGGTGCCAGTCAAACAACAAAAGCTTTTAGATTTAGTCGTTATGAGAGTGACATTTTCCAGAAGGTAGTTTGAGCACTAAAGTCACTAAAGCTTTTAGCATAAAAGAGCATAATTAGAGTCAATTATAGTGACATTTTAAGCAGACAACCTGTAGAGATCAAATTGTGTTTTCATTTTTTTCCACTTTAATTAATTTAGAGGATAATAAAACACCAGACAGCTGTGTAAAAAGAATAATCTACATAATTATCATTATTCATATGACAATTCAGTGCTGCCTTTGTAGTTCTAACTTCTCATTTGCTGTCGTCCCCCAGGAGCGCTCCTCCTTCACCCTGGAGAGAACCGAGGATGGAGGGGTGAAGATGGAGACGGGGAAGGGCAAGTGTCCCTTTGAGCCCAGTCAGCACTACACAGCTGTTATGGCAGGTGGGACAGTACCGAGTGTTTGACTAACTGACTGATTCATCTACTAATTTGTTTGTAGTCTGGTTGATCAGGATATGGGTCTAGACTAGTCTAGTGTAGTGGAAGGTTATTTTTAGGTTCTTTTCATATTTTACTGTGCATTATTTCAATAAAACTCACTTCATTCTCTCTCTTTTGTCTAGGTGGTACCCTATACACAGCAGCAACCAGTAACTTCCTGGGAACGCTGTTTGACATCTCCCGGGCAACAGGCGCTGAGCAGGAGCGCATTCGAACTGAACGATCCATCAACTGGCTGAGCGGTGAGACACATGGCACGCTTGCATAATGTTGACATGCACATGCACAGACACAAACACACTTCCACTTTAAATTACCTTGATCATGCTTTCCCACAGGAAAAAGTCAAATTGTGCGTTTGTCTTCCTCAGACCCAGAGTTTGTGAGCTCAGCCTTCATAGAGCAGTCTGCAGACAGCAACCCATCAGGAGACGACGACAAAATCTACTTTTTCTTCACTGAGGTGGCCAAAGAATATGACCTCTACACCAAAGTCAAAGTGCCCAGGGTGGCACGAGTCTGCAAGGTATCCCAGTGTCTTGACTGAATGATTGACTGACTGATTGATCGCCTCGTATGAATTCACTGTGAGGCTTAATCGTTCTCTCCCTGTCCGTGCAGTCTGATGTGGGAGGGATGAAGACTCTGCAGCGACGTTGGACCACCTTCCTCAAGGCTGAGCTTGTGTGTGAGGACAAACCAAGCGGTCAGCGCTACAACATTCTAACTGATGTTTTCACCACACAACACACACCAGGCGACCCCAGCAGCACACACTTCTACGGACTGTTCACCTCCCAGTGGTAAGCAAAGGAAACCAGAGCTGCTCTCTCTCCAAACAAGCTATCCTGTAGGGTTTATTTCAAGGATGGTATGGAACTTAACTCAAATAAAATGTTAATCATTCTTTTTCTTCTTTTTAGGGAGCGTGAAGAGGTATCAGCAGTGTGTGTTTTCAGTCTGTCTGACATCAGCAAAGTAATGGACGGTCCCTTTAAAGAGCTGAAGAAGACCTGTGAGAACTGGATCAACCCTGAACCTGTCCCCACACCCAGGCCTGGCCAGGTACTAAACTCTACAACTACAGAACTGCTGCATATGCACCTCTACTTTACACAATTTCATTACATTCTACTCCCTTAATATTAATGACTCGGACATTACTTATTTTTTGTCCTTCTCTCCACATCTTTTAGTGTTTGAACAACGCTTTGAAGGCAGAGGGGTTCGAGTCCTCCCTGAAACTTCCCGACAAGGTGTTGACATTTGTGAGGGACCACCCACTGATGGAGAACAGTGTCATGGCAGCACCCCTGCTGGTCCGGAAAGGAATCACATACACAAAGCTGGCTGTTACACAGACTGGCACTGGAGAGGAGAAGAAAGGAGCAGTGCTGCACCTTGGAACAGGTGAGGGGAGCTGGAGGCTTGGATAACCAGAGAGAAAATGTGAAGAGATAAACTCAAACTGGCAGTCAAAAGTTGACTTTTTGATAAAAGATGAGATTCTTTGTTCACCATGTGTTTCTGTGTGTTGCAGACCGTGGGGAGCTCCACCGGGTGGCAGTAGTGGGCCAGAATGCCACCTTATTGCAGGAGATTCCTCTGTTCACCTCACAGGAGCCAGTCAACAATATATTACTGCACCAGGTAGAGCATTTAGAAATTTTTTCACACACATATGTTGTGCATGATGTGCATATATTGATCCGCAGTGCTCAGAAATATCTGTCACACTGCTCTGTGTTTCTGTAATGGTTCCCTGTGTTTCCAGGGCTGGGCTCTGGTGGGCAGCCCTCTGTCTCTGGCTCGTGTCCAGGCTGAAGGCTGCACTCTGTATCCCAGCTGTGAGGTGTGTGCCAGAGCCAGAGGCCTGGGCTGTGTGTGGATCCCAGAGGAAGGAGCCTGCAGATCCACAACAGCAGAGTGAGTACTACAGGAATATCACAATGAACTGGAAGACTTCCAAAAATGAAAAGCAAAGGCAGACAGCGGCAGTATTGTGTTAGAAAAAGGTTTAGTTATGTGTAAAAACTGACCCATTTTTCTTCATAGCATGTTCATTAGTCATTTTGTTTCAAACCTTTGACCAAGATTCTCCTTGCACCAACGCACATTTATCTAGTAATGCAGTAAGTAAGCAATATAGTAATGTAAGAAACACCTCTGTTTTCTGCTACATTTAACAATAGGCAATTGTCAGTCACATCATACGGTTTAAACCACTGCTAATAAAATATATTTAAACAATCATATATGAAAAGTAAATCATCAACTATCAAAAACCCATCATCAGTTATCAGTATGAAGTGTAACCAGCAGCAAAATAAAGAGATCAATAATTGTTTGCATTCTCTGTGTATAATTCACTTAATCAGTTATCAAAATTGTAACTGATTAACCATATGTTGATAGAATAATCAATTCACTAAAGAAATATTTAAAGAGCAGGCACCAAGGAAAGATCTCTGTTCCAACTAAAACTTTCATGCAAAAATGTGACTCCATTTTGTGTGTGTGTCCAGGCCTGGTCCAGGTGATATGATTGATGACGCCTTGAAAAAGTGTGAGACAGGAGAAGGTAAGTGTATCTAATTTTTAGATCACAGACTATCCAAATGTCAAATCCTTTATTGATTTCAAACCTGTGTAATATGATTTCAAACGAAACAAAAAATCACACTTTAACTTACATTCTCTATGTATATGTGTGTTTCTCTCCTAACTCTCTACCGTCTCCTCGCTCGTTGTCTCCTGCAGGGCGCTGCACCCCATCCATCAGGGAGCTGCGAGTTTCCATGGGTCTGCGCCTCTTGTTGCCATGTGTCCAGCTGTCTCCCAGGCCCTGTAGCTGGGAGCATCCTCCACACAGACTCACCAGGCAGCACCACTCTGACCTGGAGGTGACTGTCACAGAGGACAGCCTTGGAAAATACATCTGCACATGCCAGGTACACAGGCCAAACATATGTCCGCTACATATGTGATTTAAAAAAGGGGGAAAATGTGGCCTTTGTCAGATTATTCCTTAGCAGCAGAAAAACTCACACTCACAGATCAAACAACTCTCTCTTCTTCTCTGTCATGTCACTCTACTCCAGGAGGCGGGACCAGGTATCAGAGACCCCACCCCCTGCCTTAGAGCAGCCTATCAGCTCACACTAGAAGGCCCCAGTGCTGGTGGAGCAGTGGCGGCAGCAGGGGGACGACATGTCCTGGCCATCTACATCCTTGTCTTCTGCGGGGGTGTACTGTTTGGTGTGTTTATCTACTTCGTGACCCGTAGGCGCAGCCTTAGCCGGCAGGGCCACCACCTGCCAGATAATTCGCTGTCATCAGAGAAGGGGCGGGACTTATTGGGATCCTCGGCCACCCCACAGTCCCCTAGCAGTGCCAGCCTGCTGTCCGAGGGATTCAGATTGACGGAAAAACGTAACGGCACGGCGACCACAACTACGTCTACAACGCTCCTCAGCAACCTGGGTAATGGTGGTCACCATGGCAACAGCTACAGCGGCACCCTGATCCACAGCAACCCCAGCAATGGCCATGGGAATTCCTTGTATGCCAACTGCAACACAAGTAGCAGCGGGCTGAAGTTCGCCTCTGAAATTTTAGCTGCAGACATGCTGGATGGAAGGACTGGGGAGAGGGAGAGGGGGAGACCCGAGGGGGTAGAGAGGGAGTCAGGGGAAGGGGATGAGGTGGATGAGGGGCTGGGGGATGGGGGAGGGGACGGGATGAAAGGACTGGAGGAGGAGTTGGCCAGCTTTCCCATGTTTAAATCACCAGCACCACTGGCTAAATGTGAAGAAAGTTCAATATGAAAAGGTGATATGAATGCTCTATTGATTGCACCATTTTGCATCCTCTAAATAAACTGAATGCTACTTGGAGAAATGCAAAATGGCTACTGCCAAATGCCTTTGAATGGGAGCTGTGGAATGACGAGAGACTACAGAGATATATGAGAAATATATAAGTTTATTTCTAAGCATGTGAGAGAGTTGTGGAAAGAATGGTGAGATAGAAAACATATTCCAGTGTTGTGACAACCACAGCGAAATACATGTGTCAGATGTAAATATAAAATGTAAATATAAGCTGAACCTGACTGTGGACATGGAGCTGAGCGTGATATCACGCAATGTTACAAAAAAATCAAAGATGAAATGTCTACATGTGTGGACATGGAAAAGCCATAATGTCTTTCTCCTTAACTTCTGTTGTTGTTTGCTCTCTCGTTCTCTTCTCCTGATGGCACTGCAAAAGAAAAGTGCACTTTGAATCTCTCAGCACGTCTCTCTGTCTCTCTATTTCTATTCCTCTCTCTGACACATCACTCCAATCCCAGGCCCTGATGGGTCCAAAGGCACCAAAGGACTGCTGAGCCATAGACTTCCCAGTTGGACTGCACCAGTTCTGGGCTTCAAACAGAGAGATGTCACTGTCAGAGACTAAAGAACCATAAATTCACTGCAGAGCCCTCAGACGGGCTACAGTGACCGTGACGGGCTGTCCCTGCCTACACTGCCGCAGACGTCAAGAGGATGATGGGGTTGAAGGTCGCCTGTCAGATTTTTGTCAGTGTGGAAAGTTAAAGATGCACAGCAGATTTAAGGTGACTGACTGCTGCCCAGATCTGTCACTGTTCACATTCACAGTTACTGAGACAGAAGATAAATGACTTTCAAAAAGTTGTGAAATTCATTTTAGCCTCATCAAATGGACCTTGCCAGACACAAAGCCACCATCACCTTGTTTTATGAGTGTGGATTTCAACATAACAATGTATTGTTTTTGTCATGTTGTTTTGTAATAAAGCCTAAAAAAGTTGCTATTACCCGGGTATCACTGTTGCCATACTTTATTTTGAAAATCTGAATGTTAGTGAAGTTTAAAGATTTGAAACAAATGGTGCAGTGTGCTAATTTCTGCAAATCCGGCAACTTGCAAGTGTGTGTGAAGTTATCTGTGGCTGTAAGTGAGGTTTTGTACCTTTTAAGATATGAAATATATAGTCTATCTTCGACTTAACAGCTGCCACAGTTGACATTTTGGAAATACCCTTTGTTGCCAAGAATTCGAAGAGAAGATGGATACCACCTTGTACTGTACAACTGGCCACAGTCAGCAGCAAGTTATCTTCGCTAAGCTTACAGATTAAAAAACGTTTACCTCAAAGATTAGGAACAGGTGGAAACAGCTAGCCTGGCTCTGTTCAAACATAAAACATTTACAGAGTTTATGCCATGCTTAGCCAATAGGCTGCTGTAGCATTATATGCCACAGGGGGTTTATCAGAACTTTTTCACTGAACAGCTGCACTGTGCTGCAATAGAGGACACTGACATGAGCTGTAAGAGTGAACCAAAACAGTGAAATTGCAGGCCATAAAACCAAAACAATTAGCTAAAAGAAGCTAAAGGGGAATTGCAAAGTTGAGTTATAATTCTCTTTGGGTTGGTCACTGTGACATTTATTTACATTGTTAAGAAACATCTGAAAACAGGTAAAGAAGTACAGAAAATACAGACATTTACTTAGAACCTTGATAACCTCATTTTGTTTTTCATTTATTTGATGCTTTTAGCCAACAGATTTCAGTGGTGTAGAGTAGAAAATGTAAGAATGTGCAAAATTAGTAAACAAATGCATGAACAGAACCATTATGTAATGACAATGCTTATAATTCCTGTATCAGAGAATGCAAAACATTTGCAATTTCCTTTGTGATTTGTGAGGGTTTGCTCAGAGGTAAATATTGTGGTTTCTATGCCCATTGACTGCATAGGGACAAGTGAAGTTGTCCAAATCATCATTTCATCTCAATCAGCAAGCAATTCCATTGGCTTTCTGTAGCCAAAAAGCCTAAAGTCCCCTTCATAGAGCTTGTACAGCTTCCTCCTGTCCTCTAGGGGCACTGTTCTGAACCAGTTCAACACAGAATCCGGGGAAGTCATGTTTTCATAGGAAGGAGGGAAGTTGATGACGTCCTTCAGATGTAAGGTCTTCAGAAGCTGCTCAGCATCATCCTGAAGAGTCTCCTGATGGCCAACAAAATCATACCTGAGAAGTAAAACAAACCAATGTGAAACTCCAGCTGCAACGAGCATAGTCTTGTATTAACATTGAATTAATTGGTCATTTCCGGATGTTGAAGGGACATTCCAGCCATTTTATACATCAAGATCAGTTTACTATTACTACTACTACTAATCCTTTTTTTCCATTTCCATTTATTTTTGTTGTTTAAAGACTGAGATAAAAAAAATTTGAACTATTATTTGTAGATTGGTAATATCTCTGCAGGTCAATAACCCCTCCACATGACCTTTACAGCTAATAAAAACTGCCTTACTGTATGTGGCAGGGGTGGCACAGGCGGTGCATCTGCCTCCAGTGGGGTTCAAGGGGCTCTCGCTTCTCTGTCAGCGGGTCCAACAGGTACTGAATAAAGTTGTAAAACGAGGGGCGTACGCCGGATGCGAACGCCTCATCCACTGTCTGTGGTGGGTCAGGCTGGTTGCCATACTGACGCAGAATGTACCGGGCATAGTTCTTATAGTAGTACTCATTGTGCCGCTGGAACTTGTCTCGATAGGCGGAGATGAGGCGGACAAATGGGTCCCGCACAAACAGGAACTTGGTGTAGTGCTTCAGCTTTGCCTGTAGTCAACAAATATGCATCAACCCCCTGTCACACTAACCCTGTTCTGATTCAATCCACTAATCATGGGACTAATATATGTTCTAACTACTTCAGAAACAAAGGTGGGCACACTTTCAGTTAATAACTTCACTAAACTGACCTTCATCTCTATTCTTGGGAAGCTGTTTAGCAGAGTGTACTTGCTGTGCATGTGGACCAAGTCACCAGGTATGGACATGGGGTCATGATATGGCTCGCTCTGGTTCAGGACAAACATAACCCTTTTCCAGTTGGTACACGCCACCTGTAGATAAGAACAAGTTAAAAGGTTTAAGGCTATGCTTATGTGATGCTGGGGTCATTCCCAGGGTGTTCCCAGGGTCCTGTGTTGCCCAGCTCCAGGGTTAAGCTTAGGATAAGGGAGTTAGGGAACTTAATATTCTTGGAACATAGATGCGGTAACATAAACATGCTCACACTGATATTCGCCATCTTAGTTTAGCGTCTAATTAACAATTAACTCAATGTAAAACTGAGGGGAATGTCATTAGTCTATTTTGGAGCTGAAAATGGGACTATGGTTAGTGGTTGTGCAGTGCAGATTACAGATTTGTGAGATGTACTCAAATGAACTAAATGTGATGGATTTAGATGAGAATCCAATCAAATAAGTACTGTTTAGGCCTGAAATGCTCATTAGAAGTCTTTAGTTACTGGGGGTGTGTTGTGTGTGTTTACGTCTGTATCACCTTGGGAATGTAACAGTAAATGATGCCATGTTTGTCATCCACAATGAGGTTCTCCAGCTCTTTGTCACTCATGTCTTCTACGGTGCGCTTCCCCTCAGAAAATGCCTCTTTGTCACCATCACACATTTCTCTTAGCAGCTGCTTTCTCAGTTCATGTAGATGATGGATCTTCTCCGCTGTGATAAGAAGAATAAGAATATGTGTTGTAACTTGCTAAAATCATTAATGCTAAATAAATATTGCTTTAGGTTCGCCTTTGTTTCGAGGAGATGACGGGGAGAGGTGAAAGCCAGAGGGCAAATATTTATTCTTTTTTCTGCTTCTTTATTTTTTAGAGTTAGCTTTTAATCCAAAAGTAATCAGGGGTGAGGTCAAAGATCCGTCATCTACTAATCCACTTTCTAATTCCAAAACCATTTCACATGCAGTGGAGCACATAAAACAAGCAAAACATTATTTAAACAAACTGCTTTTGTTCCAGGACCAGGATGCACAGCAGGAACAGTACGAAATTGAAACAAACAAACACACATAGACATATTTTACCTCTTTTTTCTTTTGACATGTCCCATTGGTGAGAGGTCAATATGATGAGAAACATGGATCCCACAAATCCAAGGAGCAGTAGCAATCCTCTGCATGTTGTCATGGCAGCTAGAGATACACAATGTGTCAGCATTTGTCAATGAACCAGAAACAATAAAAGTACACTGAATGTACAGGGTTTGAAGGACACTCAAGTGATTAAGGGTAAAATCCAGTATCCCTTATTTATTTTCCGACTTAATTACGGTATATATCAGTCACAAAGATAAAAGCTCTACCAACATATTGGACTGTGTAAAAAATATTTTGTAATAACACAAAATCCATAACTAAATCAAAGTTGAATTTCTTCAAATTAAGTCACAACTAAATAAATCAAACAAAATCTATAAGTAGATTAGGCATTAAGCATTATTTTGATGCTCCTGTACAGTAGTTTTATTGCAGCCTAAATATCACAAGTAATCACTCACCTTGCTGTTCTCTGATAGATCTTCTGATTCCCTGAGAGAAAACTGCTCATCAGCAGCTCAGACTACAGAAACATGTCCTGATACTGTTTGCGTCCTACTAAGAGTTCACTGTGAGGAAGTAAGCAGAGCAAACTCTGTAGTGGAGAGGATAAAACAAATATGAACATATTAGTGGAGAGGTGCAGCAGCCAATATTGACTCTGCGACATCCTCAACCAACTGTATTCTGCCACAACTTCTTGACAAGTGATTCGTCACATAAAAGTCTTGACAAATTCAAAGTGATTTTAAAAATTAAATAATGTAAGTGGTCTCTTCACTACATGGTAATGCAAGGTCAAATGAAGAATATTTCGTGTTATTGTTTCGTTAAGGCTGTTCAAATTGCTCTACATCATGATTCAAAATGGCAATCAAAAAGATCTCATTATCAGATCGGATCAATTAGATGGATAACAGAGGATTTGCGACCGATATTCAAGGTTCCCAAAGGATAAATCCTAATGAGTTTAGTGATTCCCTGACTGACGTCGGGCACCACCTGCAGCTCAAAGTGCTCGCCTATTCAATAAAATATCACAACATCTACTTGATTGATTGGCACCAAATTTGAAAGAGACGTATGAGGTTACCAGATGGTGAATGCTACTGACTTGTCATCCACCGAGATGGACAACAGAGCGGCACAGGAAGTAAGTAAGTAAGTAAGTAAAGCTTTATTTATATAGCACCTTTTTGACACAGAGATCCAAAGTGTTTTACAAACAACAAATAGACATAAGGGTATAGTCATACACAATCACACAAACATAGGTAGCATGTAAAAACAAACATAAGGGAGATAAAACAAAAGGGATGGATGAATTAAAAGAGAGATGACAGATGAAAAAACAAACAAGGAGGAGATCTATAAAAACATAGACATATAAAGAATAGACGCTGCATCGACCGCTACTCCCTATTGGCGCTGACGAGCCGTGGGGCCGCCATCTTGGACCGGTCATCCGCGCCACTCAGTGTAATCTGTTTGGGAGGCGCAATGAAATGTGTTAATCAATCATAACTCTGAATTCTAAACTGATTTTCACACGTTTTTTGTGAGACTGTTTCGAGGCTGTTCTATACCAGGCAGATGCGCATTCTCATCAAAACAGCAGGAAATGTACTTATTCCAGCATTAACAGCAAATATAGCTAACCAAAAAGTTTCACAACAGAATACAAAAGAGTGACAACCATGAGTGACTAGAACAAAACCTGGATAACAAATGCGGAGGGGAAGGAAGTGGAAATGCCTCTATACACTCTCATCTTGCTTTTCAGACTTGTATAACAAAGCAGAGGGAGAATAAAATGTAATGTAAATGTAAATTCTCAAGTTAACACAAGAACATGACACATCCCCGCCACAAACCATATTTACACATGTACAAAGTTGCTCATGAGAGTTTTAGATGAGCTAAAACCCCTGAAAGAGGACTGTTTTGCAGAGCTTCTTCCTCGTGCTCCCTTTCTGCAGGTCAAGAAAGGTGAGTTTGGCAATGTGGTGCAGCCTTATCTCAAGAAACACAGACACAACCAGTGACAACAAGTTGGAATGATGGTTGTCGATGCCAAACTGTGTCTCCTCAACGTGTTCCCCAAGCAGGAAAACATCCTCCGTTCCAATCTCCTCCTGGACAATGTGCATGACTGTCGACACCTTTGGAGCTTGCTTTGATGAAGCTTGGCGAATCACCCTCTCTGCAGCTCTCAGCACCTTATATATTATAATAATAATAATAATAATAATAATAATACATTATATTTATATAGCGCTTTACACAGTGCTCAAAGACACTTTACAGAACAGAGAAAATAAGAACAAAGAACAAAGCAACTTTAATATACAAAGATTAAAAGATTAAAAAAAACAAGATAATAAAATCAAACCTTCACTGTGCCTTGTGATGGAATCACTAGGCCGCCGTTGTTTTTCAGGGATAGAAGGTGGTAGCTCTCGTCAAATGATGATGGTACAGCATCTCTGACCAAGCTCGCATGGCACACATCACAGGACAGCTTTCGCAGAATCTGCCGGACTACAAATCCTGCTATGTAGACGAGGGCATTTTCCACCAGACAACCAAACCAAGTGGGAAGATAACTGTGGTCACACACAACGGCCGAAATGTTGGCGAATGGAGATGGATGCTCTTCAGCAGTTTCAGCAGAGGACATCTCTGCAAACGATCAATAAAGTATTCCTTTTTCTCATTGTTGGCTTGATCACCAGCAGTTGATGCTTTTGTTTTTTATTTAAATATCTTACATAACTTTTGGTTGGATTGCCATAAAATTGCATGTAATTCACGGTTGCCAGGGGATAATATGTAAAACCTTTAATCCATGGACCTTTCATCTAGGGCTATACACACTGATTCATTCAACAATGTTTCTAGCAAAACCTACCACTTATAGCAACATTCATAAGTTGAGAGACAAATTTATTTCCAGCTGTCCTGAATTCAACAGCCTTTTAAGAGTTACTGCCCTCATCTCGTTAAAGCAAGGATGTAATTTCTTTGGGAACATGCGGGTAATGGAGTTAATGTATATGCCTTATTCCTGACAGCAAAAAAACAAACCTCTCCCTCCTCCTGCACTTCAAACACTCCAACTGTCTAGGGGAGATTATTCTCCACTGGGAGTTTGTCACTTGTTTGTAGCCTTTTCTGTTTGACATTTCCTGTCAACTGTCCCATGCAAGTTTTTCCTTCTAGTTGCACCTTTAATACAAACATTTTTTTCTTATAAACAAGTAAATGATGTCTTTCCACACAAAACTTGTTTCCTCTATTTAAGGTGCGAACCAGAAGTAGGCAGGTTTTTTTTTTCTTCCAGAAATCAGTGTTTATATTGTGTCTGCCAAAGTCTCTTAGAATGTTAGATGCTTTCCTTTGAGTTGAGTTGATGTGTAGTTATCATAATGCAACAGGAATGGTTTGTGTGTTTCTTCTGCAGTCTCTGATTTATAAGAGGCATTGTGATAATTTACTCATGAATAGCACAGCAGCAGCACCCACCATGAATGTCTGCAAAATGTGATGTTGTTTCATCTGGCAGATGTGTGTGATGAAGTGTGATGAACCTTCACTTCCTTTGAACGGATGTGCCACTCATTCTGTGGTAGTTTTGAATACAACATGCAGTGCATCTATATGTTTCAAAAACCCAGTGGTAAGTTGGGAGGACATTTCTGTATTTGAGGCTCTTTAGCTACAGAAAATAAATCTTAAACATTTGAGAAAATATGTTGTCTGTTAAACTGAACACCTTTTAGTGCACCTTTAGTAGCAAATATAAAAGCATTCAGAAAAAATGGTACACATATGCCTGGTTGTGAAATACATAAACAGTAGGCATAATTCTTATGGTTAGAACTGGACATTCAATCAATCAACCTCCTGTCCATTTCTCCAGTTACCCACATCAACATCAGATATATTTCTTTCACAACAGAGGCAGCTGTGAGGGACATAGGAGAATATCATTAACCACCTTTAAAGACAGAAGATCTTTACAATCCAATGCAAAAGAAGTGAAAGCAACAGAACAAGAAACTGAATTCACGCTCACTTTTTAAGGCCATTGAATAGGGTACATAAAATGAAATAGGACACCAACCACTATGAGAGCCATTTCTAATGAAATAAAAATGCATTTAATGATTTCAGTGAACCACACATCCACAACTAAAGAGATAGCTTTGGTCTTCTAACCTTATGTTACATTTAATTCTTCACCATCAGATCCCAAAAACCAATGTATGTATGATTTCCACAAAAAACTCCTCCTGATAAGAGGAGCTGCTTGAATTCCGGCAGCGTGAGTAAAAATGGTCTTTGTTATAAGCAACAGAGAGGATAACTTACCAGCCTGGCATTACCTCTACAGAGAATATATCGATATCAGAACTCTGGGCCTCGTCTTTTAGGATTGTAAAGAAAGAACAGACAACAGACAGACAATAATTCCCAGGTACCAAATTTATTGGGCGTTGCCCACATATGCTGGATTTCATGTGCAATATTTGAATCATTATCGTTATTTAACTGCTCATGCTTATGTTTTGAAGGAAATTGTGAAAATAAAGCAGCAAAAGAAAACAAAAACATAGTCAAAATATAGTCAAAACCATTGTTTGCACTCCCTAAATTGTAATGGCTGCACATCAGTAGTAATGTATGAAAAAAGTTGTTGGTATATCAACACATTTCACATCCCTGTCAACAGTGACTCTAAAATCATTTTGAAATGAGGTTGCACAAACAAAGAGAAATTTAAGGTAGTAACTTAGGTACAATAGATGCAATATCAGAGATAGAGGCACTAATTGACATGGAAGTTACAATTCACCCTGCTGCTCCTCAAGGAATTTGATTAATTTCTTTTGTTTTTCAAGATCCTTTTCAAGGTTCTCTAGTTCTGCACCTAACTTCACTTTTTGGTCTTCCACGTAACTCTTGGTTTTCTCCATGTTGGCCTTGACGCTCTGCAGAAGTGCATCCACTGGTGGAAAGTCATCAGGTGATGTTCCAGTAGCTTTCTTCACTAATGCTATCATTGGGTCCAGGTAGCCCATATATTCATTTATGAGCTCTAAACTGGAGGCCATTTCTAATTTGTACTTTTCCTAATGGGGAAAAAACACACATAACTCAGTTTGCTATTTTGTTACATTATGTTGTGTCTCTTATATGAATTCACTTGTGAATGAGTTTCTCTCATCCTGAGTATTCCATCACTAAAGTGAGCAACATAGAAACTGACTGACTCACCTTCAAACTTTCCAGTTGTTGTTCTGCTTTCTGGACATTTTCCTTTAGCTTTTCCTGCAAATCCAGGGTGAGAATCAACATGTAGTAACATTTAGGGACATGTGAGCCTGACAGCAGCTCCAATATAGAAGATATTAATGCATACAACTGCAGGTAAAAGTGTGTCAGAGAATTTCAACAGTAAATGTGTTTGTGATGACTCATAATGGCTGTGGACTTGCAAATAAATGTGAATAAATGTTTTCTATGGCAAAGGGAAGTTAAGCAAAAATATATTTACCAGTTGGTCCTCGTCAATGAATGAACTTGCGAGGCAAACCAGACACAGTAGGGAGAAGATGAAGAACAGGCCTCTGGTGGCTGTGACACCAGCCACTCCTCTGCTTCTGGACAAAGCTGCTGCTGCCATCGCTGTGAAATAAAAATTATATGAAAGCATCAATGAGGAATTGCAACTTAACTTAAACTAACTTAAGTTGTGAACTGTAATATTAAAAGGTCTACAGTATAAATCATCTGATAATGAGTTACAGTTTCTGATCTTACCTGCTGGGTAAACGGAAGGATAGCTGAGATGAGACCTCAACATGCTTTATATACTCCGGGTGTCAGCTCACCCACTGCATAGCTGTGTGTGCACAGCTTTTACCTCATCTCCACTCGCTTGCAAATCTACTACTTCCGTTTGTCTCTTGAGTTTCATTTTCACAGAAACACTATTTTTACTTTCTACTAATTCTCCAACATCACTTAGTGTAGGTACATACCTAATTTATCCTGACACATTTGAACAAATCTGTAACACTGTGATAGACAGCAAATTATGTAAATATAGTCATCAACATGATACGTTTTTGCTCATTCTTTAATGTCTGACAGCTGAGGACTGTGGCCAGAGGGCAGAAGGTTTAATCGTTGAAATCTTCTGTCTGCAGAAACCTTCAGGTGGCATTAAAGGATATTACACAGTATGAGAGTGATAAAACTTCCTTTCACTTCATGAGACGCAATTAATAGTCATTTGTTTAATACACTGATAGATCCACTTTCTTGTACACAATCTATGAAATCCTGACCCAATACTGTGACGTGTGTGTGTGTGTGTGGAGCTAAGCCCTGCCCTCTGTCCTGCAGGAGAGACAGAGCTAGCAGGACAATAAATGGCAACAAAATGTGAGAAAGAACTCTCAGAATCGTTTTTTTGCATTTCATAAGGTGCTGTGAACAAACACAGTGTGTGATGCACGTGCATATTCCTTCATGTCGGTAATTCACTTTCACTTCCTGTGAAACCACAGAACACTGGTTCTCTGCCAGTTTTACCATGAATATACCAACAACAGGCAGTGTATCTAAGTTTCAAAACATCAAAGTTGGGAGGAAGTTTTTGTATTTGTGTCTCTGTAGAAGCTAAAATGTAATAAATATTAGAAGTTAGAGAAAATAAGTTTGGTAATTAAACTGAAATCAAGATCTTGGTAGAAATCAATCATCTTATTTTATTGTTTAAACCCTGTAACTCCACCTGCTGCAGTGAATTCACAGCAGCTGAGCCTCTGTACATGAGGCTACAGTACCTATTATCTTGTATATACTGTTGCATCATTGGCTAAATAAACAAATTCATTCTTTAAAAAAAACTACACGTGCATGTTTTATAAAATACATAAACAGTAGAAATAATGCTTATGGTTATAACTGGATCACTGGACATGAAGTTAAATCTCATCTGGACACAATTCTTCAGTGTTTGATCCCACAAACCATCATCACATAATGTTTGTATGATTACTACAAACACGTCAGCATTGATCCTAATTCAAAGAGCTGCTCTCTCTCAATAATATGCTTGAATTCTTTCAGTGTGAGTAAAAATGGTCTTTGTTATAAGCAACAGAGAGGATAACTTACCAGCCTGGCATTACCTCTACAGAGAAAATATTTATATCAGAACTCTGGGCCTCATCTTTTAGGATTGTAAAGAAAGAACAGACAACAGACAGACAATAATTCCAAGGTACTGAGTTTATTAGATATCCACATATGCTTGATTTCATGTACAATATTTGAATCATTATTGTTATTTAACTGCTCATGCTTATGTTTTGAAGGAAATTGTGAAAATAAAGCAGCAAAAGAAAACAAAAACATAGTCAAAATATAGTCAAAACCATTGTTTCCACTCCCTAAATTGTAATGGCTGCACATCAGTAGTAATGTATGAAATAATTGTTGGTATATCAACACATTTCACATCCCTGTCAACAGTGACTCTAAAATCATTTTGAAATGAGGTTGCACAAACAAAGAGAAATTTAAGGTAGTAACTTAGGTACAATAGATGCAATATCAGAGATAGAGGCACTAATTGACATGGAAGTTATAATTCACCAAGCTGCTCCTCAAGGAATTTGATTAATTTCTTTTTTTTTTTCAAGATCCTTTTCAATGTTCTCTAGTTTTGCACCTAACTTCACTTTTTTGTCTTCCACGTAACTCTTGGTTTTCTCCATGTAGGCCTTGACGCTCTGCAGAAGTGCATCCATTGGTGGAAAGTCATCAGGTGATGTTCCTGTAGTTTTCTTCACTAATGCCATCATTGGGTCCAGGTAGCCCATATATTCATCTATGAGCTCTAAACTGGAGGCCATTTCTAATTTGTACTGTTCCTAATGGGGAAAAAACACATAGAACCACTCAGTTTGCTATTTTGTTACATTATGTTGTGTCTCTTATATGAATTCACTTGTGAATGAGTTTCTCTCATCCTGAGTATTCCATCACTAAAGTGAGCAACATAGAAACTGACTGACTCACCTTCAAACTTTCCAGTTGTTGTTCTGCTTTCTGGAGATCTTCCTTTTGCTTTTCCTGCAAATCCAGGGTGAGAATCAACATGTAGTAACATTTAGGGACATGTGAGCCTGACAGCAGCTCCAATATAGAAGATATTAATGCATACAACTGCAGGTAAAAGTGTGTCAGAGAATTTCAACAGTAAATGTGTTTGAGATGACTCATAATGGCTGTGGACTTGCAAATAAATGTGAATAAATGTTTTCTATGGCAAAGGGAAGTTAAGCAACAACATATTTACCAGTGTGTCCTTGTCAATGAATGAACTTGCGAGGCAAACCAGACACAGTAGGGAGAAGATGAAGAGCAGGCCTCTGGTGGCTGTGACACCAGCCACTCCTCTGCTTCTGGACAAAGCTGCCGCTGCCATCGCTGTGAAATAAAAATTATATGAATATATAGGATCAATGAGGAATCGCAACTTAACTTAAACTAACTTAAGTTGTGAACTGTAATATTAAAAGGTCTACAGTATAAATCATCTGATAGTGAGTTACAGTTTCTGATCTTACCTGCTGGGTAAACGGAAGGATAGCTGAGATGAGACCTCAACATGCTTTATATACTCCGGGTGTCAGCTCACCCACTGCATAGCTGTGTGTGCACAGCTTTTACCTCATCTCCACTCGCTTGCAACTCTACTACTTCCGTTTGTCTCTTGAGTTTCATTTTCACAGAAACACTATTTTTACTTTCTACTAATTCTCCAACATCACTTAGTGTAGGTACACACAATTTATCTATTTTATTTTTTTTTTTTTTTATTGCATCATTGGCTAGATAAACAAATTAATTCTTTAAAAACAGTAAAAGTAGATGTTTGTAAAAATACATAAACAGTAGAAATAATGCTTATGGTTATAACTGGATCACTGGACATTAAGTTAAATCTTATCTGGACACAATTCTTCAGTGTTTGATCCCACAAACCATCATCACACAATGTATGTATGATTACTACAAACACGTCAGCATTGATCCTAATTCAAAGAGCTGCTCTCTTTCAATAATATGCTTGAATTCTTTCAGTGTGAGTAAAAATGGTCTTTGTTATAAGCAACAGAGAGGATAACTTACCAGCCTGGCATTACCTCTACAGAGAAAATATTTATATCAGAACTCTGGGCCTCATCTTTTAGGATTGTAAAGAAAGAACAGACAACAGACAGACAATAATTCCAAGGTACTGAATTTATTAGATATCCACATATGCTTGATTTCATGTACAATATTTGAATCATTATTGTTATTTAACTGCTCATGCTTATGTTTTGAAGGAAATTGTGAAAATAAAGCAGCAAAAGAAAACAAAAACATAGTCAAAATATAGTCAAAACCATTGTTTCCACTCCCTAAATTGTAATGGCTGCACATCAGTAGTAATGTATGAAAAAAAGTTGTTGGTATATCAACACATTTCACATCCCTGTCAACAGTGACTCTAAAATCATTTTGAAATGAGGTTGCACAAACAAAGAGAAATTTAAGGTAGTAACTTAGGTACAATAGATGCAATATCAGAAATAGAGGCACTAATTGACATGGATGCTACAGTTCAGCTTGAAGCTCCTCAAGGAAATTTATATATTTCTTATTTTTTTCGAGATCCTTCTCCATGTTCTTTAGTTCTGCACCTAACTTCACATTGTTGTCTTCCATGTAACTCTTGGTTTTCTCCATGACGGCCTTGACACTCTGCAGAAGTCCATCCACTGGTGGAAAGTCATCAGGTGATGTTCCTGTAGTTTTCTTCACTAATGCTATCATTGGGTCCAGGTAGCCCATATATTCATTTATGAGCTCTAAACTGGAGGCCATTTCTGATTTGTACTGTTACAAATGGGGAAGAAAACACATAGAACCAACTCAGTTTGCTATTTTGTTACATTATGTTGTGTCTATTATATGAATTTACTTGTAAATGAGTTTCTCTCATCCTGAGTATTCCATCACTAAAGTGAGCAACATAGAAACTGACTGACTCACCTTCAAACTTTTTAGAATTTGTTGTTCTGCTTTCTGGACATTTTCCTTTTGCCTTTCCTGCAAATCCAGGGTGAGAATCAACATGTAGTAACATTTAGGGACATGTGAGCCTGACAGCAGCTCCAATATAGAAGATATTAATGCATACAACTGCAGGTAAAAGTGTGTCAGAGAATTTCAACAGTAAATGTGTGAATAATTTTTTTCTATGGTAAAGGGAAGTTAAGCAAAAATATATATTTACCACTTGGTCCTCGTCAATGAATGAACTTGCAAGGCAAACCAAATACAGCAGGGAGAAGATGAAGAACAGGCCTCTGGTGGCTGTGACACCAGCCACTCCATTCTTACATTATGTTGTGTCTATTATATGAATTCACTTGTAAATGAGTTTCTCTCATCCTGAGTATTCCATCACTAAAGTGAGCAACAGAGAAACTGACTGACTCACCTTCAAACTTTTTAGAATTTGTTGTTCTGCTTTCTGGACATTTTCCTTTTGCCTTTCCTGCAAATCCAGGGTGAGAATCAACATGTAGTAACATTTAGGGACATGTGAGCCTGACAGC